TGCTGGAAGTTATTCGCTCTTGTACCATTATCTATTTTGAGGGGCAAACTGATGTTATGTATATTATTCTGCTTTATCAATGTAGCGCGTTTGTATTATTATATGAAGGAAATTATGAACAGGCATTGCTAAGGTTGTCCTGAAGAAGGGTAAATCTCAATTGTTCAAAGATGGTAGCCCGATGGTATACAGCGGGGCCGTTGATAGAATAATCGGTAGGCCGCCACCAGTAACTGGAGACGTTGTTCTTGTAACTGATGGGACAGAAAAGCCAATTGGCTGGGGTTTATATAACTCAGTCTCTATGTTCTGTGTCCGCCTAATGCAGCTGGAAGATGAAGCAACTCGGTATTTTTGTTTCTGTTTTCTTTTTCGAAAAGTGTTCTGGTTATTAATGGTGTGCTTTCTGAAAAAAAAATGTAGAAAAGCATTAAAGTATTTGCAGTTGAATGTGTACAGAGACCCTTGTTGTGCTCTGGATGTCGAGAAATTGCTCGAAACTAGAATAACGGATGCTGTTGCGTTACGAGAGCGGGTTGGGCTTCCTTCAGCACAAACAAATGCATATCGTCTTGTTAATAGTGAAGGAGATAGGTATTTAATTCTGTATACTTCTTGCCTTTCAGTTAATCATGTGGTTCGCCACTTACTGCTCAGAGATTAATTAATGGAGTCGAGATATGATTGGAATTTTATATTAACAAATAGATGTAATGTTATGCAATATAAGCATTCACGTTTTGCTACCCTTCATAATTTTTGGTTACCCTATCTTTTCCTTCGAGTTGTTAATTTGGGGTTTATAGAACATTATACCACTACATTTCTAGTTGATAATTCACACTGAGAGCAAGTATTTTGTTTTTGTCCAAATTAGTGAGCTGGTAAGAGCGTAAAAATGATAATTTTTCAAGTTGATAGGGATTATTTTGCAGGTTGTCTGGCCTCATCGTTGATATATTTGGATGTGAAGCAGTGATAGCCTCTTCGGCTGCTTGGGTTGAAAAGTACAAGGAACAAATAAAAGATCATATCAGCAAAATTAGCAATGTGGACCATATAACATGGAGGCCATCGGTGGATATCTTGAAAGAGGAAGGGTTGGATTTGTCTGATTTGGAGGGTGTAAATCTATCGAATTCTCCCAGAATGGCAAAGGTTAAGAAAGAAATCCATGTGTAACCCGTATGGAAATCAAACTCTCATGTCTATAGATTTTTTTATATGTTTATTAATATTATTATTAGTTTTGTAATGACCATATATTTGTGTCGAAACCAGGCAGTGGAGAATGGCCTTTCCTATTTAGTCTCTTTGGAGGGGCAAAAAACTGGCTTCTATGCAGATCAGCGTGATAACCGTCAGTATATATCATCAATTTCCAGGGGTCAGAAAGTACTCGATATATGCTGCTACACTGGAGGTTTTGCTCTTAATGCAGCTAGTGGAGGTGCTCTTAGTGTGACTGGTTAGTTATTACAGAAACTAACACTAAGTAGATTTATCCCAAACTCAAAAGACTCTAACCATTTTCCAATATAACAAACCTCCTAATCGTATTTCAAACAATCTCCTCAGAGATTTGTTGTTCAATTGGTAAAACAGAAACAAGTGTCAAGCGAGCTTTTGTAATTCTTAAAGCCCGTTATTTATGTTTTGTCTTTTCTGTATGCAATTAAACAAAGATTCAGATACAACTTAATTTGCAATCCCTATTGTTAAGCAAGTATAAGCACGACCATAAAATACATTGAGAAGGCAAACTCCAGAAAGTTTAATATTAAGTGACACTATGTTGAAAAATTATCAATTATCATGTCCTGTAGAATGATAAAATTGTATAACTCATTAGCATACGCAATATTCCTGCTTATCAATTTTCCTTGCATCCTGTATTTTTCTTGTTTAAGTAAAAAAAAAATACTTTTTCTTCCATGAAGGTGTTGATTCATCTGCTCCTGCTATCGAAATTGCCAAGGAAAACGTTGTTCTGAACAACCTTGACTCTCAAACAATATCTTTTCTAAGAGAAGATGCTACACATTTTATGAAGGATTCACTTTCTAAAGGCTATTCATGGGATATAGTTATTCTGGATCCACCGAAACTTGCTCCACGGAAAAAGGTATCCTAACACCTATTAATTTGATGCTTTATTGTTCCCAGCAGTATAACTGCATTGTTTTCTAGTTGAGAAGCTACAAAACTGGTTAAGCCTCTCCAGTATTTAAAAACACAGTATGTACAGCTTATAACCTTTCGATCATTTCACCATATGTACCTATCTCAGTTCAGTTCTTCCATTGGATTAAGTTTGGAATAAAAATAAGTACTTGATGGCATGGACCTTCATTCAAACCATTAAAAGTTGAGGCAAATATTCAAGTACACTATTGTATATAGTTCACTTTCTTCTCCAAATAATGCACACAAATCCAAACACATTCACATGCACTGTGCAAATTTCATTTGGATGTCTTACTTCTTTTCCGGCTCATTGAGTGTTTTACTTGTATAGGTATTACAAAATGCATCTGGCATGTATAGGAACTTAAATTCCTTGGCAATGCAAATAACGAGAAGAGGTGGACTGTTAATGACTTGCTCGTGCTCTGGAGCTATGACCCAAAGTGGGACTTTCCTCCGTGTTTTACAGGCAAGTTGCGATAATCAGATGATTTTCTCCCATGAGTGCCATTTATCAGACTGAATGACCAAATGGGTAGTTTGAATTTCGATTTCCTTAATGTTTGTTTCTGTTTTGCAAAGCTGCACACTTGCAAAATTTACAGTTTAATTCAATATAATCTGTGGTCCCTTTCCAACCCACAATACTAATTTAATTCAAACAAGGATAATCATTTTGGCCCCCCCTTGTTTAGGGTGCTGCATCGATGGCTGGTAGAAAGATTACAATAATACGGCAAGCTCGTGCAGGATGTGATCATCCTTTGGACCCTTCATATCCAGAGGGGGAATACCTCTCCAATGTTTTACTCAGAGTGCTGTGAAAGCTCAAATCTGTATTATTGCTTAAGGAACTTGGAGCAAGAGGAAGCTCCTAATTTAGTTCAGTTCATTTTTTGAAGTGTTAGGATGAGATTATTTTGTTACAGAAACCAGCAAAGAGATTAGTCTAACTTTCAGTGTTGTACTCTCTTGATGGATGCTTCGACTCTACATTGAGACCGGTAGGGTTGTAAACGAATCAAATCAAATCGAATACTAAGATATGCTATTCGAATTCGATAAAATAGTCTACGATTCAAATTCATATTCAATTTGTAAACGAACTCATTTTTTGATTCGTTTTCGATTCATGTTGAATGCTTGAACATATTCGATTCGATTCGGAATTCTTTTTCAAAAAATATTATAATTAAAAAAATATATTATAATTACAAAAATATTGTTTATTGTTTCCTATCCAATAGAGATGCTTTTAGGGAAAATTGTTAATTTGGAATGTATTTATTTTTTGTCATAAAAATATTAGAAATATAACAATATATACTATAAACAAAGTTTATACTATAAACAAAATTTATACTATACATAATATATAGTATTTTTATAATTATAATTAACAAATCAAATATTTGATAATTTTGAATCGAATATTTAGAAATTCAGATTCATTTAATTTTTTGAATATAAAACATTAATCGAATTCGAATTCAAATCACGAATATTGAATTTGAATATCGAATTGAATATTTTTTTTTTTTTCCGCTTTGTTTACAAGCCTAGAGGCCAGTCCATAGGTCAGTTTAGCTTTGTTTACAAGCCTAGAGGCCAGTCCATAGGTCAGTTTACTTAATGATATGATATGATGCAAGATAATGCATGATTGATGAAATTATGCTGATTCATTGTGATCAATTGTACTGCATCATATAATGTAAATATAATTGAAAAACTATTGCTTCCATTTCTACTGGCAATTTGTATCATTATGTTGATACCGTGCCCATTGATCAGAGTGGAGGCATCTTATGGTTCAAAGATATTTCGAAGATCGACTAAAGGAAATTCTTCACACCTGATGCTCGATATGTAAATAAAAACGAGTAAAGAAATTTACACCCAAGTACATTGAGACATATATCCACTATTCCACTACTAGTAGTACAAGCTCAATACATTAAAATGAAAACGAATAGTTTTAACTCTAGGGACAAATCGAAAGCCAGCACGTGTTAAAGGTCTAAATACACAACCTTCAAAACCAAACAAGAACCACTCATAAGCTGCCCATCAATGACCTCCAGGATTCCGGTTCCATGACAAATACGATGGATCTCCAAGTTGCCTGCAAAACACGATGCACATAATATCAATTCTTTTACACTACTATCGCTAGCAATTTGGCTTTAGCTTGATTATAAAAAGCTTCATTTAACTCTCGAGTTTCTATAGATAACAAATTTAAGATGTCATGTAAAAAAAAAAGGAAAAAAGAAAAAAGTAAGTGATCAAACAAAAGAGATTTTTCAATCTTCCAAATAGACCCATGTTGAGTGTGCAGATGATAAATAAAAAAAAAAAAAAA